ATGTGTTATTTTTAAAAATTAGATTATCTATTATAATTTTGATTAAGGGTTAAATTTATTTTATTTTTTATAATTTTATTATCATTTTTTGTTAATTGTATAATAATAAAAGAAATATTTAAGTTTAAATGTTATAATATTAAATCGATTATAAAAAATAAATAATCATATCTTATTATTTATTCCAAAAATAATATAATTTTTATAGTTTTTATTGTCAAACTTAGTTAATAAATTATTTCTTACATTATAATTAATTGTGAAATTATTTTATTTTATTTTTTCATATGAAATGAGATGGGTCGGCAAAAACCTAAATTTAAGACTCGGATTACCCGTTTACCCGACGAAAACCCACTAACCCGCTGGGTAAAACCTAACCCGAACCCGAAGATCACTAGCTGGGTAACGGGTCGGGTTTGGGTAGAGTAAATTATATGCGGGTCGAGTTCGGGTTTACCAAAACCCGTACCCAACCCGACCCATTTACATCCCTACCCCCAACTAAAATTGTTGACCTTAGGATTTTACTAACTAGAATATTGAGTAAGTGTTCTATGTTTTTCTATACTTTGTTCTTGATTTTTACCCATCTCTTAATTTTGCTTAGGTATGGAGGTGAAGAAAGCTAAGAGAATCAAGATCAATGTGAATAGGAGAATTCACATTAAGGTTGTTGCTGAGGTTTCCCAGAGGTTGGGGTCAGGAGTTCCCCCGAGGAAGGTGCCACGACCCCGTATCTCGGGGCCTACTCCTTCGCAGGCGTCTTCAGTTCCCGAGGTTGACATTGTCGTTAGCGATGCTAGCGGCAACGGAGTTCCCGAATTCTCTGGTTATGTCAGCTTTGGCCATCGGGGTCGTTCGTTGGATAGGTTTATTCAGCAGTGGGGCATCAGCGTTGGTGACAGTCTCCTGAATCGTGACACTGCGGTGGAGATGATGAGCCATCTTCTACCTCATGATGATAGAAATGGCCTCAAGGTCGCAACCTCTGAGGAGCTATTCGATGACGGCTATGAGTACTTAGCCAAGGTAACCAAAATTCTTGTTATTCTTTACATGTTGTTTCTGAAATTTTTCTAAGGTTTTTCTATATATTTCAGCTCCTTCGCACTCACCAGGGCATGGTTGACAAGATTGCCTATGAGAGAAGGAGGATTCTTGAGATGAGGCAACAACTCGAGCGTAACGAGGCCCTTAAGGAGATGGTTGAGGACGACAACATACGACATTATACTGAGATGATACGCTTGAGGGCTGAAGTCGATAGGCTCGATCTAAAAATCAAGACAATGGATTTGAGACTTGGTGAAGCTAACAAGATGGCGGAAGACGCTGCAGAGGTGAATATTGACTATTGGATTGATGGGTTTGACACTTGTAAGCAGTTGGTGGCTATCCTCGACCCTTCATTTGATGTTAGTCGCCTTGTTCTTGAGTCTGTCGATCTCCTGACGGACGGAGATGATGTTGATCCATTATCCGTAGGAGACATTTGATTGTTGGTGCACGGGATATTGACTTTAGGACTTTGTTTTATCTTATTTTTTCACTTTCAGACTTGTTTTTGTTGTTCTTGTGAGATTGTGGACCTCTGTCTTCTTTATTTGTTGATCTTTGCCTGGATCTCTGAATTATGTATCCACAACTTGTATAATGGTGTGTTTGATTTAACCCTTCATCGTTTAAGGCTTCGGTAGTCTCAACCCCACCCTTGGTTGTTTCTTCACTAGTCTTATAGTAGATCAATTTACCGATGACTAGCGCTTTGATGCTATGACCAAGGACTAGTGGTAGGGGCAATAGTTCTCTACTGCAATCCTTTAATTTTTTTTTTTATCGTTAAATGTAAACATATGTAGATCAAAACTGGGTTCACAAGACCGATCGACGACATACAAAAGTGTAATGGACAACCCCAAGTCGGTTCCTCATTTGCGAAATATACACGAGGGCAACTACAAGTCGGTTGCTCACTCAAAAGTCTCGAGAAATGAAATACAAAAGGTCCCTAGGGGACACGGCATCACGTCGGCGTGGTGGGCTGCACAACGGTGCTACTAGGAATGGGACCGCGCTCGGGATTTCTGCTGCGGCATTTGCTGGAATCGGGCTTTAGCGGCGCTAAGCTTCACGTGGCTCGCAGGCGTGGCGTGCTGGCGTGGCGCGGAGTCCTCGATGGGAGTTAGCAGCGCTTTGCACCGATGCGGAGCTAGGGCCGTTAACGGCGTTAACGCATAGTTGCGCTTCAAAATCCAGACGCTAGCTCTGTTGTCGCTAGTCCCACACTAAGGTTGATAGTTGCGCTAAGTGAGCAGGCCTTAGCGGCGCTAGCACATGGGAGTAAGAGAAAAAATTTCTGCACCTTATCCAATTGAATACATCATCCCGGGTGGTCCGCCCCCCATCAACCTCAACTCTCAAAGACTAATAACAAGGTAAAGCACTCTCAGAGTCTGAGGCTCCGCCTCTCAAACTCGACAAGCACATTAGGATAAAGAGCAAAGATAGTGCGATAAACATGGGTTGTTACCTTCCGGATCACAAGGCTCGGTGGTTGGTACTCATTTTCGTAGATCAACCGGTTCCTTGCATTCTAAATGAAGTACACGGTAGCCACAAGCGCCGTTTTCTTCAATTTGGACCTCTAACCCGCTCCTCTCGCCTCCTTCTTGGTCCATTTGAGGGCACCTTTAAGGGTCGATGGTCTACGTCAGATGCTAACCCAAGTATGAATTTCACCCAAAAATCTCCGAGCTAAAGGAGCACCCAAAGAAGAGGTGGCTCGAAGATTCGTTGGCGACCCCGCATAGAGGGCATAACGGGTCTTCATCAAGGAATTCAAGATGGTCTTTTGTCCGGAGTCGATTAAGCACTACTAGCCATAGAATGAAGGAGTACTTAGGGGTATTGCAAGCCCCCCAAACAACCCCACTCCATGGCCTTGTGGGTCCTCTAGGTCGTAGGAAGTCGTAGCACTTACTAGACCCGTCTTGATAGCAACAATGGTTGTTCACTGCTATTCTATCAATGGAGGTATTGCAAGCCC